CCCCCCCGCCGCCAGCAGCGTTTCTCTCCGAGGTCTGCTGGCTCACGAGGAGGTGGCTGGAGTCACTTGGCACACCACCATCACCCGGAAGCCCGGTGGGCTGCAGGGGCCCCGGCTGGCACCTTCCGGCCCAGGGTCATTGGGAGGCCTCTGCCAGGCCACGGTGGGCTCAGGGGGGGGGGCTGGGCCCCGGAGTGGCTCGTGCACGGTCCTGTGTGCCCCCAGGTCCCGCCTACGACCTGACGTTCTGCGAGGTCCGGAACACCTCGCTGGTCATGCTGTGGAAGGCCCCGGTGTACGCCGGCAGCAGCCCAGTCTCGGGGTACCTTGTGGACTTCAAGGAAAAGGATGCCGGTGAATGGAAGACCGTGACTGAGGCGGCGACTCCGAATCGCTATCTGAAGGTGATTCGCTCATTCTGTATTTTCTTTTATCTGAAAACACTTTTGGTTCCTGTAGGAAACTGGCTCAGGTCCCCAGCTGCCTGGCACAGTGCCCTGAGGAGCTGGGGCGGGAGACTCCACAGGGCAGCGAGGGCCGGAGGGTGGCACCAGCCACACACACTGGGGCCCGTGCCTGTGTCACGTACACAGGGGTACGTGTCCGTGCCTGTGTCATGTACACTGGGGTATGTGTCCGTGTCTGTGTCACGTACACCGGGGTATGTGTCCGTGTCTGTGTCACGTACACCAGGGTATGTGTCCGTGTCTGTGTCATGTACACTGGGGTATGTGTACATGCATGTGTCATGTACACCGGGGTATGTGTCTGTGTCTGTGTCATGTGCACCGGGGTATGTGTCCGTGTCTGTGTCATGTACACTGGGGCATGCGTACATGCATGTGTCATGTGCACCGGGGTATGTGTACATGCATGTGTCATGTACACTGGGGTATGCGTACATGCATGTGTCATGTACACTGGGGTATGTGTACATGCATGTGTGGGGTATGTGTCTGTGTCATGTACACCGGGGTACGTGTCTGCGTCACGTACAATGGAGTGTGTGTCCGTGTCTGTGTCATGTACACCAGGGTGTGTATGTGTCATGTGCACCGGGATATGTGTACATACATGGGTTGTGTACAATGGGATAGCCCACGTACCTGTTGTGTTTGCTCAGCTGCCCTGGTTCCGAGACCTCCGTTTGAGACCCTCCCTTTGAGAGAGGCCCACAGCTGGGCCAGGCCCTGCTGTCCCGGGGCCAGGGACAGACTGTGCCCACGCAGGACAGATGAGTCCAGCCACGACGCAGGTGCCCGTGTGCACACATGTGCACATAAGCAGAGCCTTAATTCTGACGTGGCCACAGGATGCTTTTCAGTTGATAGTCACGTGTAGATAGGACTATGTTAAACATCAACACCAAACCGCAACCAGTCAGTGGGAAAGGGGGTTCCCAGGTCCCTTCGTTCCTGCCTGCGAGGCTGTGTGGCTGAGGATCTCCTTTGCTCTCTGCTGCTCTGTGGCTCCGTCCAGCTTTTCAACCAGAAACCGAGTTTGGCCGGGGGGGTGGGGGGGTCCGGGCGGAGCAGGAAGGCGTGCCCCTGGCCGGGCGGAGGCATGTTGTTTGTGGTCTCCAGCCTCACCCCTTTCCCCGCTGTCTCAAGGTGTGTGGCCTGCAGCAGGGCCAGACCTACGTCTTCAGAGTCCGCGCGGTGAACGCCAGCGGGCCCGGGAAGCCCTCAGACACCTCGGAGCCAGTGTTGGTGGAGGCCCGGCCAGGTGAGCCTGGCCCCTCGGCCGCGAGTGTGTGGCGCTTGCGGCAGGCAGTGGGTGTGTGCGTGTGTGGCTTCAGCCCTCCCACTGGCTGGCCACGCCAAGCAGGGCCTCTTCCACCCCTGCGTTCTAAGAGACAGATCCTGACTGTGTGCATCAGAACACAGCAAACCGAGCAAGCACCTCCGCCTGGGCAAAAACCAACCAAGCAGCCGCGGTGGAGAGGGAGGCGCGGGCGGTGTGAAGCTGGCTGTGGGCGTGGGAGGTGGGTCTCGGGGAGGACAGGTGGCCAGGCCAGCAGCCCGGCTTCCTCGGTGGGAAGGACACGGGGTGGGGAGCAGTCGGAAGCTAACTCCTCACGAGTTAGCATGGCTGAGCGGGCTGCCGCACAGCCACCGGCTGCTGGGAGGTTCTGTGGGTTCTTTTGTGGCTGTCACGACAGCGGTGGGCATGAAATGAGAAGTGATGATTCGGTGAAAGATGAGCCCTCCTCCTGGGCCACCTCCTGCCCCAAAAAGGAATCCGGAGGACGTGGCATTCCTGAGGCTCCTGGGCTCTCCTCCACAGGCACCAAGGAGGTCAGCGCCGGTGTGGACGAGCAGGGTGACATCTACCTGGAGTTTGACTGCCAGGAAATGACCGACGCCTCCCTGTTCACGTGGTGCAAGTCCTACGAAGAGATCGCCGACGAGGACAGGTTCAGGGTCCACACGGAGGGCGATCGGTGAGTCCCCTGGAGTGGGGGAGCTGCACCCGTGAACCCGGGAGCAGCCAGCAGACACGGCTGACGCCCTCCTCTCCTCCTCATTTTCAGCTCACGTCTGTACTTTATGGCTCCAGATAAAGTGGACATAGGGACCTACTCCGTGTCCGTAAGTGACACGGATGGTGTGTCCTCCAGCTTTGTTTTGGATGAAGAAGGTAAGAGCATCATGGCACAGACCCGTTGGTTTTTACTTCTCTCACCTTCTTATTTATGCTTGTTGCTGTAGTTGGGATGGCAGGGACATACAAGCATGCCCTTATTTTTCCATGGAGATGGGGTCTCTGAACTTCAGACTAGGGTTGAGCTGTGTTCTCCTGATATTTGCCTTTTGATTGGTTGAGTCACCATGATATCCAATGAGGAAAATGATTTCTCATGGCCAAACCAAACCCCAAGGGTAGTTTACACTTGCTCAGAAAGAAATCTACTGTTTTCAGTTCAGATAGGATGTTATACCTTAATAACCATCCTCTAATTTCTGAGTTCTAATTCTAGGAAGGGAAAAGGGAATTAGGGAAGAAAGGAGGTAAAAAGAAAGGGAAGACAGAAGGAAAAGAAGGAAGGAAGACAGGAAGTAATTAAGGAAAGGAGAGAAGGAGAAGGAAGGAAGCAAAGGAGCAAAGCAGGAGACATTGAGAAATGGCTTAGAGCTTTAATTTCTCTGCGCTTTCTCCGGAGCAGAGCAGCTTGGTTTTCCTGTTTGCTGGGGGGGGGGG